AGAACGAGGACTTGAATTATTTTGTCCCTTGTTCCCACTGCAATCCGGGTATTCCCTTCGAAGGACGTCGAATCCCATACCATGCAAGTAAGTTCGAAGCCCGATCCAAGCCTCCTAGCACAGGTCTCCTGAAACTGCATCTATCGAATGTTAGCTGAAGGTTCGACAATGATACCAGGACCCTCTTACATCTATATGGCTACGACGTAAAAATACAATATAACCCAGCCCAGTCCCATAACAAAGGGTTGCTGCCATGCCCTGTCTTGTTGTGATCCAGACAGCGCAGCTGATCGTCCCACGGGACTCATGGTGATGAGTTGAGCATGTAAGTTCTTTCCGAGATTTGATATCCCAGAGTTTAATGCCCTCGGTTCCTGCCCGTCTGTTAGCAGCCTCACATAACAAAGTGCGTATCAAGTTACCACCACATGCAAGAGCCTGACCATCATTAGATATTGCGAGGGCGTGAATGGACCCGCCGTAGGTAGAAAAGCGGGTTTGATGTCGGAAGTGTCGCTTTGCTTTCGCGAAGAGTGACGAGGTAAAAAAGGACATTGTTGCATATACGATCTGATTGTAGTCGCCAGTTCACCTGCTCACAGCCTACTTATAATAGGAACTTTTTTTGTTGATTCTATGGCGATTTCCTAGCCATTTGTTGGTTCCCGACTTTTGTGTTCATTCTTTTGTAAGTGAAGTAATATATCACTTTACGTAACGTTTCTGCTATTCAGGACTTATTTGTTCGATCCCCTTAAGCCACTCTTTTGTTGACTGTCTTTATTGTTTATTGTTTATTGTTTAATCTCTAGTAGATTATGTTGAATGGTGTCATTAGGTTGGTCATAAATGTCTTAGAGGTTATTACAGTTCATACCCAGTATCTTGACCCGCTCTCGTCGCCCCGCTCACGTCGCTGTAACCAAAACCACGACATGCCCAACAAAATCAACACTGTCTCTCCTTTTTATGATCAAGAGCCTGGCGCTCCACCTCCCTTCCCTCCTATGCTCACGGACCAACTTGAACTATTTGACAGTGCCCACCGCTCAACTATGCTCGTTGCTGACGAGATTCTTCCTTCCAAAATCAGTGCCATCGATCCTCCTATGCAACTCAAGGGCACGCTGGTGCCAGAGTCCAAACTTGCAGCACGGCCATTCAAAAATGACCCCTCGCCATACTTGAAGAGAGTTTCGTTCGAGCGCTCACGTTCCAATTCTCGGACGCCCAGGCCCATGCCCTCGGATTCTTTGAGTTCATTAGATTCAATGTCGGACAGTGGCTCCTCAACTTCGACTGAGAGTCTATCGGACGATTCAAAGATACCAAAGCCCCCTGGTGAACCAGGTCATCCAGGGCGTGGAGGATACACACTTAACGAGGCTTTAGACTGGAACCAAAAGGCATATGCTAAGTTCAAGGTGAGTGACGTGCTCTCATCACAACGTGCTATTTGCTCATAAGCACAAGAAATTTATGCACAACCTCATTGAAGAACATCTCGATACGACCAAGTGTGCTTCTTCCCAAGACTATGCGCTCCTGAAAGTTGTACGCGACAAAGTAAGTAGACCACAGATGGCAATTGTCCGAGAATTTATTATTTGTCAGGCTGTCGATGCTTTCCCGGACTTAGAAAACTACAGGGACTTTTGGCCGCTGAATGATATGATCATGATGTGTTTGAAATATACATCAGGTCGTGCTAGGCAGAAGAAAGCAAGGATGGTCGTGGGCAAGTCCAAGAGCAAGAAAAATGCATTGAAAGTGGGGTAATATAACTGATATCGATCTAATCTACAGTAAAATAGATTCACACTATACCCCATGTACTACGATGTACTACGTTTACTTGAATTACTAGGGATCGTTGCTCCCAACGAAGATACATGAGTTATAACAGAATGGCAAAGTGCTTAACCTTATGTAAGTCTCATTTAAAGTTTCGACAAAGTCTTGCCTGATATCAAGTTTATTCTTTGTACTAGCGTTCACGATGCTTGTGACAAGAACGGCGCCTTCACGGCGAAATTCATAATGTATTGAATACAAATCATTATATATTACTTCGTATCAAACTACCTCGCTGCTGACGATCCTGGATGCCAACCGGTGGTTTACCCGAGGACTCAAGGGCTTCACGACGGTGAGAGTACGTGGGAGCTTCGCTTGAGGGTGATGATTAATACTTTGTATAAACCTAATGAATTCATCAATGAGGACTGGAATCACTTTCCAGTGATGATGCTTACTGATGCATGATGAAGTCTGCAAGCGAATTGTCCCTGCCTCGCATGTTCACAACAGAGCCAGCGCTGGCACCAATCCTCATAACAACTGCATCACCTCAGAATATGTGGTCAATGCTGCTGAGAAGCGGATTGGTTCTTAAACGGCAGTGCCGCTTGAAAAAAACACAAAACTGATATACGTGTCTTCCTTCATGCAGGGTGACAAGACAGTTATGCACATAAGGCTGCACGGTTGCACAATCCAGGAGGCTCTCGGGAACAGGAAAGCGTTTTCCACTGCGCGAGCGATCAGAGCACTGTGTCAACATGGTGACCTGGCGAGGTTTACTCCAGGATGAAGAATACAGCCTACACCGCAAATGAAGTTCGGTAGTCTTTGTAGTGGTCAGCAAAAATCAAGAGAAGCGAGATTATAGCTTACGGATGATGCGGGGAAGATATATATGCGAGTGTTGACCATTGCACAGGAATGACAAATAAAAATTAGATGATGAGTCTAGGCGACCAGCGCTGAGTACAAGGAATGGCTTGAAAGTGGGCGATGAAAGTGGGCGATGAAAGTGGGTGATGAAAGTGGGCGATGAAAGCGGGCGATCTTATAGTAGTTTTTTAGTGCTTACCTTTGAACCGCGCAGAGTACAGAGCATCCCGAAGAATCGATCACCATATCTATTGTCTTTATTTGTTTCGCAGAATGCAGGGACCAGAACAATAAATGTAATCTTACGATCATTTGTATGCCTAGGCTTTTTGGACTCTTTTGTGTCCTCAGTTTTGTACTTATGACATGGAGCACCCGAAATGATAGCGCTCAAGGGCCTGAAAAAGGATAGTGCATCGTCGTCAGGGTGAAACACTAGTGACCGAAAAGTCTAAACACAATAATGGTAAACGTACATAAGTAGGATCCAAGCCGAGCCCAAAATTTAAACATTGATGATGCCAACTCCCATTACCATGTCAGAAACACAGCACCATGTCCATGTTCACATTGAGCAGGAAAACATACAAACAGCCAGTGATACGGACCTATTTGACGACGACGACGATATGGAAGACGCCGAGAGTCAGACCAGATCCCAGTTTGACACACCAAAATACGTAGTACGTCCACATTCATCAAGCGATCGATGAATCATGCCGGCTCAGTGTCTGTTCTAGGTATCGCAAGAGGCCTCCGCGATGGACTTGGACGATGCCACAAGCCAGCCCCCAACAAGGACCGCTCTGCCCGACAAGAGGGAAAAGCGAGTCGCCGATTCGGTACGTCTAGGTAGCATGATTCAAGGTTAATGATGTTAGACTTGGTTTGATCAGGTGCTGCCCGACAAGCGTCGCATCAAAGAAGTCGACTACTCAGAGACACTACGCGAAACTGTGTACAGTCAGAAGGAACTGATTCACAATATGCAAACGGTTCGTAGTATTTCACTGGACATTGTCAATATCTGACAGGTGGCCGCTGTAGCAAGTGGAAAAACAAAAAATTGAACATGAGCAAAACATGAACGAGATGAAACGGCAATGGGAAACAACTCTGAGAGAACGGCAAGAGCAACTAGCAAAGGCCCAGGAAGAAATCGAAGTAAGTCCTGCTGCAGCATGTGACTACCAGATGTACGCTGATGACTATGACAGAGGACCCGTGTCCAGCAGCAGCAGAAACTTGAAGAACATATTAGAGAGACTCAGCACGTACTCGGCCAGGCTAATCGCGAAGAAATAGAGGCTGCCATGGAAAAAATCCACAAGGACGCTCACGACCACTTGACACAAGAACGAATACGACGAGAAGCAGAGCTGGGTGAAAAGCTGGTCCAACGCGAGGAAGAGTTGAAGAGAAGGACAAATGAAGAGGTAAGGTGAATGATTTGACAGGAAAACAGCTGATAACAATGGATAGTTGGCACAAGAACGGGCGCAGCGAGAAGCAGAGCTGTGTGAAAAACTAGCCCAGCGTGAGGAAGAGTTGAAGAGAAAGACAAACGAAGAGGTGAGGCGGATAATCCGACAGGAAAATGGTGTGATAACAATAAACAGCTTCGAGAGCGCGAGAGTGCGATACTCGCCGAGATGGACCGAAGGTTTCAGCAAGAAGTGCTGAAGTTAAAGGTGAGAACATGTTTCATATATAAATGAAAACATGCTGAAATACTTACCAGGCAGAAAAAGAGAGCGAGCTGGCCAAGATGGAACAAAGATTTTCCAGGCGTCACAGGTCTCAGAACGAGGATGCGGATATGAACATCCCCACTGTACCGGGAGATGCAGGACAACCATCTCCATGCGCAAAACCACGGCCAGGTACCTCGTGCTTGGATGCAATTAAGAGAATAAAGAGAACTCGGGGAATATCGCACAGAGTTCGCCTTGTATCGGTAGCATCGGAGGTGAGCGCCCGATGCCATTGACTGTGATTTAAACTTACATAGTAGTAGGTTGACGGAGAGGAAGTACCTCAACAACACTCATCCGAAGACGTACCACCGCCTCCACAACACGATGCACAGCCTGCTACGACGATGGAAGATGCTATTGCGAGAGGTGTAGAAGCCGCACTGAGACGCATTCTAATCGACAAAGAATTTCCACTCACCAAAAAGCACAGTCCCCGGAGGAAAAAGGTAGAGGAAAAAGAACTCCGGCAAGAGAAGGCGGCCAAGAAAGCTATGAAAGAGACTTTCTTTTGGTAAGCCAAAACATGGTATGGAGGCTACGACTTACAGAGATGTATAGGGAGAAGTGCGACGTCTCTTCAAGGATGTTTTCAGCATTTCTCAAGACAGCAATTTCATGCTCCATGATCCAGCTAGTCATGAGGACGTCTATGCATATGAATATGAAGACGGCCCAGGTCCCAACTGCAAACATCTCGCCTTTGATCTTAAAGGTGGGCCCAAAAGCCCCTGGAACGATAAAGTCATTGGCTTGCTCCTCGAAGAATTGCAAAGGAGGGGTGACCAAGAGAGCTGGCCATTCAGAAGATCAGAGGCGTATTTTAAGGAGGTTCTTCAAGACCACTACAAGCGCCTGCGTACAATTTGGATGGCTGCACAACCAAAAGTTACAGCAAAGGGCGGATTGGAGACTCCTGAAGAGGTGGAACAGAGGCTGATCATGAAGAAGGATGAGGCTTTAAAAGTGACTCATCAGACA